TGAAACCTGAGCAAATATGGATTGTTGTCTTTTTTTTTTTATACCAGGGATCAAACTTGGGTCCTTGCACTTGCAAGGCAGGCAGTGGAACTACTGAACTAAATCCTGGGCCTGAGCAAATATAGAAAAGCAGAGTGACTATTTGTTCTCTCCAACTCAGTACTTATTGCATTTAACTATTAAACTACTTTTTGTAAAGGAAAAATGATCATGTTTCCTTGCAGAAGGGAACAAAGGGGGTTAATGTAGCCTATAAGCATCACAGATGTGTGATTTTGCCATCTCAGGTGCCTTAGCTGGAGTTGGAGGTAAACAGGGCTAGTTTGTGAAAAATCCATCAGTAGGACTTGGTGTCATACTCCTGAAATCCAAACCCTGAAGGAGGCTGAGGTAGGAAGACAACAAATTCATGTCCCACCTGGGTATCTAGCAAGATGGGGGTGGGACCTATGGAGCTTGAAGAAGAGAGTAACTGATCTGCAAAACTGATGCATTTTCTCAAGGTAGTTTCTATTTCACTTTGCACCTCAGTGCTAGCTTCATAGTCTGACTAGCAAGTAAGATTTGTCAAAAGGTCCTCTCTAGGTTGCATGAAGGGAAACTGGAAGTTTGCTGACTTTCTTTGCCTCAATCTTCCGATTCTTTGCTCCAGACCCAGCCATAAAGAAATCTACAGCACCCAACTCTGACTAAACTTGAAAAAGTTGTATCTATAGTTGTTTTGTTATATAATCATATGTTACAACATCTTTTCTTCTTTTTTTTATTGAGTTTATTGGTACAATCTAGGTATACAATACAGTTACATTAATTATTGGGATCCTGTACCTTTACATGATAGGTCTTGATTCTCATTTTTTCCCCTTGTCCCTGCCCTCCCTTCACCCCCTCCACCCCTCCCCATTTACAAACACTTTATTTCCATTTTTTCAATTTCTCATATTTTTTCCTCTCCCTTATTACCTTTCCCCCACCCTTCCCACTTTCCCTACACCTTTAGCCCTTTACTTTCTATTTCACATTATTATCTCATTAGGATCCTGTGTACTATTATAGTTTTTCACACCAGAGAAACTATTCGGTATTTCAGTTAAAGAAATCTCTGTATGAACATTAAAAATAGGGAATCCTAAAATAAAACTAAAAAGGAAAGTAAAAGAGAAAAGGCAATGATGTAAGCTTAAAATAATCCTTAATTCTGAAGATGAAAATGGTCCCTGAACATATTTAAATGGCTATTAAAAATAGGGAATCCTAAAATAAAACTAAAAAGGAAAGTAAAAGAGAAAAGGCAATGATGTAAGATTAAAATAATACTTAATTCTGAAGATGAAAGTGGTCCCTGAACATATTTAAATTGCTTCTTGCTCTTGTAGTCTTATCATATTCTTTTTTTTCATTATTTATAGAATACTTTATTCGTTTCTGTAATCAAACCCACATAGATATGACCTTACATATTTAATACAGTGTGTTACACCTGTACAAATGGAAAAAAATTAAAATTAAAAAAATTAACATTTTGGGGCTGGGGATTTAGCTCAGCGGTTTGGTGGCCTGCCTTGCAAGTGCAAGGACCCAAGTTCAATCCCCGGTACCAAAAAGAAAAAAAAAAAAAAATTAACATTTCTAGACAAATATGGCTGTCAATTTCTGTACAATGCCAACTCAACACAGTAAATTGAGATGACTTTTCCAAAGTTGACAGCACAGTTAAAGTTTCCAAAAATTCAAATTATATATATATATAATTAATACTATACATATATATAAAATAAACATATAATTATTTATATAAACATAAATAACATATAAATATATGTTTATATAAAAAGACCAATAATAGCTATGCATCAATAGCAGCAATAGCTCCAGGTTCTGAGGTCATCTGAACAAAATTATAGACATTCAGCACAGTCCATTAAAAAAACAAAAACAAAAAAGCAAAGAAAAGAATAATATCCAGAAAACAGCAAAGTTCTGTTGCTGTTGTGGTACCTGGCACCTTTTTTTTTTTATTAGCATCTTAATCATCATCTGGAAAGAGAATATTCTAGAGTAATGTCATTAAAAATAGCTCTGATGAAACATGGTCGCTACTATGTATCATAAAGCAGGTACAAACTATTTTACATTCACAGAGGTATGATACAGTAACATCCTACATCAGTAATACTAGAAACAGTTTTGGTTTGAAATTTGCTTTGTCTGCAAATAAGATTGCTATCCCTGCTTTTTTCTGGGCTCCTGTCACATGGAGAATTGTTTTCCATTCTTTGACTTTCAGTCTATGAGCTTCTTTTTGCACTACGTGTGTTTCTTGTATACAACATATTGTTGGAGTTTGCTTCATATTCCATTTTGCCAGTCTATTTCTCTTGATTGGTGAGTTGAGGCCATTGACATTGATGGTTATAACTGATATGTACTGACATATTATTGTCATGTTATTGGCCTTTTGTTGACTCTTTTTACTTTTTCACCTTCTCCTTTTAGCTTGCCTTGCCTATTTGATTTGCACTGTTGGGCCTCATGGTGTTGTTACCTTCATTGTCTTTTTCAAGGATATTGTTTAGAATTGCTTGTAGTGCTGGTTTGGTATTCATGTAGTTTCTCAGGTGTTCTTTGTCATGGAAGTATCTTATTTCCCCATCCATTTTGAAAGAGAGTTTTGCAGGATACATCAGTCTAGGTTGGAGGTTGTTCTGTTTTAGGACTTGGAATACCTCACTTCAGGCTCTCCTTGACCTAAGGTTTTGTGTTGAAAAGTCTGCTGTGATTCTGATGGGCTTTCCTTTGCATATGATTTGTTTCTTTTCTCTTACTGCTTGTAGTATTTTGTTCTTCTGTTGGGTTTCTGGGATCTTGATTATTATATGTCTAGGTGTAGATTTTTTAAATTGTGGCTAGTTGGGGTCCTATATGCCTCACTTATCTGAATGTCAAATTTTTCCCCTCTGGGAAGTTTTCTGTCATTAATTCTGTGAACAGCTTTTTAAAGTCATTTGTATTTTCTCCTGTTACTTCATGGATTCCTATTAGTCTTATGTTATTCTTCTTTGCATCATATAGGAGTTGTTGGATTGATTTCTCATGATCCCCTAATTTCTCATGATCCCCTACTGTTTTTAAGAGACCTCTCTTTTCACGGTCACTGACTGCAATCTTATCTTCTATATCTGAGAGTCTATCTTCGCATTCTTTTATTCTGTTGCATACACTTTCAATGGAGTGTTTAATCTCCTGGATTTCTGTTTGAATCTGTTTTATGGGTTCCATTCCTTTCCTATGTTGGGTGTTTACTTTTTCCATTTCTTTCTTATGCTGGGCCTTCATGGCTTCTATCATGGTCCTGACCTCATCTATTTTTTTGTCAGTTTCTGCTCTAGAGTCTCGAATCACGACTTTCATTTTGCTCACCATCTCTATGGTTATCTGGGAAATTATTTCTGTTTTGAATTTTTCTAGAGCCTGATTGATCTGTTGTGTTACTTCCTGTGCTTTGAGTTCAGGGTGTCCTGGTGGTTCACTATCGGCCTCTTCATCCTCATTTTCCCTACTGTTTGTCATTGGTGAACTGGAAGTCTGTCTTTGTGTCTTGCTTAAGTGTTTTCTCATTTTTATTTTTGTTGTTGGGCTGACCTTGGTTTAATCTCTGGGTTATCACCCAAATCTTCCTGATATAGTTGCACCCTAGCTTCTGGGTCTCTAATGACCCACAGACATTCTCACCTTCATAATTCAGAGAAAACAATTCATCAAATCAACCATAATCCTTTATCCCAACTGATACAATCAGCAACACATTGTGATCAAGCACAACTTGGTCCGGAAACTGACCACCTGTGGTAGTCACTAGTCTATCACCCTTAAACCATGTGAATTAAATTGAAATCAAGAAGCAGTCCAGAACATGTCTGCAGTGAACGAACTTTTTAATATAGTATATTTACCATTTAATGGCTCAGACAGAGCTAGGACTCAAGACCCCTGATCTCAGTTAGCTGATGGCTGAACTCCATGACACAGACTGACCTCAGGCTGCAAGGCCCAGATTGAGTTCCCCAACTTTCTGAATGGTTGAACTCCACACTGTTCTACTACAGGTTTCACATGTTCTTTCTTTAAACAAAGTTGGGAACTCAGAAAAATACCCTTTATGACCACCTCTGCCTCTGCAGAGTGGGTCCAAAGACTGGCACAGTCAGGAGGTCTGAGAGTGCATGCGGGGGGGCAGGTAAAGGGAGTTATGGGGATTCAGGGGCTACCTTCCTGGTGCTGGAGTGATGGCGGCTCCAGGTGGGAGAAGGCGTGGCTGTCCTCTGGAGGTCTTTATATTAAGTGAAATAAACCAAACAAAGATAACTACAGCAGAATCTCACTAACAAGTACAATATGGAAAAGTTGATCCCATAGAAGTTGAGAATAGAATGACAGTTATTAGAGGTTGCAGGGAGAGTAGGTAAGAAGAAGGGCTGGAGAAAGGTTGGTCAATGGATACTAAGTTATAAATAGTAGTGTCCGAAGTCCTGGTGTGTTCATGTACTATAGAATGTTTACAGGTAATGGTAATGTACTAATATCTCAGTGCATGTCCTGCTAAAGCCTAAAGCAAGCACAATGTAGTAATATTTCATAATTCTAGAAGAAAGGAGTTCAAATGTTTTTAACATAAAGAAATGATAAAAGTGTAACTAAACGTTCTACACTGTATACATGTATCAGCATTGCATGATGCTCCACAAACATTTGCAATTTTTATGTGACTGTTTAAAATAAAATTCAATAACAAAACCACACAAATAGGAAAGATAATTCCAAATTATCCTAGGTTCTACAATCAAATGCTGTTGGGGCGGGGTGAGAGGGGAACTAGTTTAGATTTAGGAATCAGGAAACTTCTCTGTGATGCCAAGTGTGTGAGAATTGAATGAGACAGTTCCTGTGACATCACAGATTCTTTAATTCCTTATTGTGACCTCCCCTGATGACATCTGTGTGGTGAGTCAGGCACAGACTGGGTGGAATTGGTCGTGAGTGATGGCGACTGTAAATGAGACTGAAGCAAGTAGGTGGATAATTTGAGTAACTCAGCTGTCACACCCTTGGAAGGGCTTTGTGTCCCTTTTCAGGATAGCACTTGTGCCTTAGAGTCGGAAGTTTTATTTTTGTCTGTTTTCCTAACCTTGTCTTCTCTGGAGGTCTCCTGGATTTTCTTATTTTCTTCTAACATCGGTGCCTTTACATTATTTAGAATAGCTCATGGCCACTCTCCTGCAAAAGAGAGCATCTCCCGTGACTTCGCAGGCACTCAATCTTTTGCAAGAAAGAGATGCTTGTCTTACAAGTTCAATCTGAAACTATGAAAGACTCCATCAGGACAAAAATTCAGCAATTTCACAAGTGTTTCCCAAGGAGATGATTTTAGGAGATATATAGTAGACACTTTAAGAAATTACTTTATAGTTGCACATTTATTTTAAACTGTATTTTAAAATAATTATACACTGGAGCCAGTCTAACTCCTAGAATCTACTACCACTTAGCTGCGTGAAGATAAGCATGTTCCTCTCTGTGCTCTGATTTCATCATAAATGGAAATAAAAATAGTGCAATCTCACTGAAGATATTGGGAAAATTAAGTGAGTTAATATAGGCAGTGCTCAGAGGAATGATGCTGATCATTATGATGGTTTTTAAATTAATGTATATGTTAGATTCATGGATGCTGGTAGGATCTGGCCAAATTTAACTTCGGAACTTTTCATTGTTTATTAATTAAATTATGTATGCTCTGTTTTAGGTGAAGGGGGCAAAGATAAAGTCATTGCAAAGCAGGAGAAAATTGATAACTATTGCCTTCAGGATATTGGTAAATTGTCAGAGTCAATGGATGATGATGATGATGAAGATGATACTGATGATGATGACAGAAACTCTAAAAAGGATACTCGTGCCCCATTAGAGTTAATGGCAGAAGTAAGTTTTTTGGAAATAATCTAATTTGATAAACTTAAAAATATTGAAATAACTAGGTGGTATTAAGCTGATTAAAAATTAGTCCATGTTAATTAATTAAAGATTTTAAAAATTAGTAAAATGGTCCTTGCCCACATGCAGATGCTTACATGGCTACTCATCTCTCTCACAACTGCTACCAGGTTAGAGGTGAAAGAATTTCTGGAATTTAAGGCAGTACTCTAGTGAGGCACCAGCAGGAGTAAGAAAAGTTTAGGCATAAAATCCTTCAGGGACTGCTTTGAGGAATTCTGGGCACTGTGCTGGTTGCTGGGAATGCAGCAATAAATGCGAGACCTGTTTTGTCTTTGAGAACAACACACAGAAAAATAATTACAATAAAATGAAATGCATGTTAGTAAAAATGTTTGTGAAGTTCTCTGGGAAAAGGGGGCAGCTAAGTGACTTAGAAAAGAAGCAGGAGGAAAAAGTGAGAAAGATTTTTAGATAAAGCCATGAGTACTGTAGACTCCTAGAAACTTGAGAGTATAGACATTCAATGGCAAACAAGATTTCAAAACTGTAAACAGTTAACTGTATATTCTATTGATCACATTCTCTTACCATGATCAGCAAAACAAGGCATCAATAGCAAAATATAACAAATTAAAACTACTTAAAAAGAAGACATTATTCTACATGACATTTGAATTAAAAAGAAAAATCAAAACTAAACTATTTGGAAAATAATGGTAACCACAACAGTAAATATTAAAATTTTTTAAAAGCTTAAAGTTTTAAAGTGCTTCAATGATGATAATTATGATGATGATGACACAAGAAAGAATGAGTATAAGTGCACAGAATATTAGTGCCAACAAATGTAAAAATAATAAATATAAATGCAGTAAGAAAAAGAATTAAAGGGCTGGGGATTTAGCTCCATGGTTCCTGCACCTGCATGGCAGGCACAACAACGTCCTGAATTTGATCCCTGGTACAAAAAAAAAAAAAAAATTGAAGAAACAAGTTGATAATTCAAAGTAAAAACCAATATATCAAGAGCTAGATATTTAGAAAAATGTATAGATAAACTAATAGATATGATTAAAATGTAATAAAACCACAAATAAGAAAGAGATTTTAAATGTTTAAGCTTAAGGGCCTGGGATTTAGCTCAGTGGTTCCAGCACCTGCCTTGCAAGTGCAAGGACCTGAGTTCGATCCCCAGTACCAAAAAAAAAAAGAAATTTTTAAATGTAAGAATTTTATTGCATGTATTAATATAGCATTAATATGTAAATAAATCAGATTTTAAGTGGAATTATGAATTATATAAAACTCTAGGAGATTTTGATTTACATTAGAAAAATGTTTTTAAGTATGTAAGGGACAAGCCAGGGATTTAGCTCAGTGGTTCCTCCGCCTGCCTCGCAAGTGTAAGGTCCCAAGTTTGGACCCTGGTACCAAAAACAAAACAAAACAAAACAAAACAGGGGCAGGAGAGACAAACAGAGAAGTGGTAGATGGGTAAAATGGTACCTGGGTATTTATTACACATGTGGAAATTTGTGAGAAATGTCTTCTATTGGTCAGTGCCTCTATCTTTGCAGAATAAAATGTTGGTAGCTGCATGTGGTTCAGAAAATGCCACACACAAACAAGAATCATCAAAGTAAAGGACTTTTCATTTTCTTGAAATCAGCCTAAATAGCTCATAATATGAGATTAGTTTAGTAAATTGTTACCTAAGTAAAAATTATAAGAGAATATTTAATGCCAGCCTGGTGTGTAAGCTCAGTAATAAAATGTATGCATTCTTAGCATGCTTAGGATTGGTTCAACCCCTAGAACTCTTCCCTTAAATAAAAGAAAACTTAATGGCACAGAAGGAAGATGATCAGAACATGTAGTTTATTTATTTAAAAACTAATGAATAATCCTAATTTTTATAAACATATATATTCACTTAAAGGAAAAAACTAAAAAGATTACATTAAGATGTTAAGCATCTCTGAATGGTAGAAATATAGGTGCTTTTAATTTGGGACAGAAAGTATTTATTTAGTCTTTCAATTTCATATATTAAAAATACACATTGGTTTGTAACAAGAAAAATACAATAAAAAGTATAAGCAAAACTGGGTGATATAAAAACTATATAGAAGCAATACTGAAAAATATTAGATGTACAATTACTTTTTCAACTAAATACTATAATGTTATCATGGACTAAGTTCACAGGTGAAACCTGAATGTAACCCAAAGGAAAGTCAAAATAGATGTTAGCACAACCTGTGTCGATGGAATCAGCCAACACATTCTCCTATTGTCCAGCAGTACATGTCCTGTGACTCCAGCAAGGCAGGGGTGTTGGACCTGTCCCGAATGCATTGCCATCCAAGGTCCTGAAATATCCTTGACTGATTGGCCGATTGGAGACTCACTTCTGGAAAAACATGTATAAATGTTAAAGCAAAATAGATGGGCTGATCCAAAGCTGGTGTGCACTGAAATAACAAAAATGGATTACAGTAAAAGACACAGTGCCACTAATCCCCCTCCAAACACTTCCTTCATTCCAAACAGACTTATCCCATCATTCTTGCCACTTTGTGAAGCAGTTCTGGAAGTCCTCTTTCATGATGTCTTTACAAGGCGTGATTAAAAAAAAATACAGTAACTGGTGCTGCCAAGTGCCGTCCAATGGAAAGGCAGGCTCATAAAAACATTATAGTGCGTCTTCATCCACCTTGCTCACAGGCTCTGTCACTGTGACTTCTTTTGGCTCTTTTCCAAAGTGAGAATGACCATGACCATGTAAGGTAGATGTTTTGAATGGATTCAAGGTAGCCACAACAGGGCAACCAATGACACTCACGAAAGAGGACTTCCAAAATTGCTTCAGAAAGCAGCAAGGACATTGGGATAAGAGTGTTTGAAGCAAGAAGAAGCGTATTTTGAAGGGGATCAATGGCACTGTGCCTTTTACCGTAATACATTTTTTAAAAGTTTAAATGTTTGCAGCATATTTTTCAATCACAATACATAACTAATATTTTATAGAAAGTTTATAATTCACATTTAAATTCTCTCTGAAAATACTTATCTGAAACATCTTATGTTTTCTAGTTCCTCAGAGCTGAAATGGGCCGAGACTACCACCTGGCAAAAAAATTATGTGAGATGAGTAAGTACAAAATACTTTCACATTTTCCAAACCTTGCTTTGTTTCTAAAAATATACTGTACTGCATGTGAGGTGGTTTGATTACCCTAACTCTAATGAATTCTCTCCTATTATCTCAGTGACTCCTCGATAGTAGATTAATATAAGGACTAATTTAGATGTATAGAGTGCTTTTTAGTGAAATAACTCAATGTAGAATAGCACAGACTAGATACCACCACTGGAAAATAAGCCAGAACACTTACCCTCATGGTTACAGCTTAGTAAATTCATGCTTTAGTTCTAAAGAAGAGTTGGGTGGTACAGCAGTCAGGTCTGACTTAACATGGATGTGTTTACTCCACAAAGACCTGAGAGCCCCATGTACCCAGCACTGTGGTAGACACAGGAAGTACATCAGTCAGCAAGACACAAAAATATCCTGCATGTATGTCTAAGTGTGAGACAGAAAATAAACTAAGTGGTGTGTCATAAATGATAGGTGCTTTGAAGAAAAATCAAAGTACAGAGCGGGAATAGAGAAGACACCGGGACAGGTAAAACTGTTCAGTAGTTGAATGATTTGATGAAGTGGAGGAAACTGGCTGGTGGAGGGCAGAGGAAAATTGTTCCCAGCAGGCTGTACAGCAGGTGTGCAGCCAGGCAGCCAGTGTGGCCGGAGCCGAGGAACACACACGAATGTGCTAGGAGTGGAAGTCACACAGATCGTGGTCAGAGGTTGTGCAGACTACACAGGATTGTCTCTGTTTAGGGAAACTTTTGAGTAGAGGAAAGATACAATCTTTCTTCCTATCCTTCATTTTAAGTGGTTTGATTTATCCAAAATAGTTGTGATTTTCTTTGTCTTTAAACTATTGGGAAAGTTCACTGGGTTACTTCAATCTGTGGGTTGGAATTTTCATCAGCTTTGAAATGTTCTTGCCTATTATTACCTTTTCAAATAACACTTCTGCTTCTGTCTGGTCCCTCCCCTACACTCTTCCTGGGTGTCCGAGTACACATAAATTAAACTTTTTTCCCCATGGCATTCCATGGTATATAAATAAATAAATAAATAAATAAATATATATATATATATGTATATGTATATATATATGTATTAGCTCTGTCTTTTATATATATATATTTCTATGCATCCACTTGAGTATTTTCTACTGATCTGTTTTATCTCCTATATACATTTCTCTGTTAAAATGATCAGAGGGTTTGTAAAGTCATAGATTATATTTTCCAATTTCAGACTGTCCATTTAATGATCTGGAAAGATTCCAGCTCTCCAGTGACAGCCACTGTCTTTTCAAATACACTACCCGTCTTTTCTAATATATTATTTATAGCTATTTTAAAAGAGGAAACAATAGCTCTCCAATTAAATCTTATTGACAGTCCAGTTTAAAAGTCATAACTAGTGTTGACCTAAAATCTGTGCTGAAGTCCTTGAAGGAATTATAGCACAGGCATTGTGAGGGTCTATGCATATGGGTAGCATACTTAACTCTCTGGCAAGGAAGGTGCCATAACCACTGAGCTAAATGTCTGGCCCTCTGGCTGATTTTTAAAATGCACTTCTTAAACACATTTTACCTATTTTATATCTGAAGTAAATATTTTCCCCTGCTTAATTAATCCTTCCAAGCATTTTTGGCCCTGTAAGCTGTCAAATAAAATATTTTGGTAGCCCACAAACAGAATTTCCAAAAAGAATTCTTAGAGAAAGTAACATTCAGACCTCTCTTTTTGGTGTTTTTTTGTTTTGTTTTGTTTTTTGAGACAGGGTCTCACTATGTAATTGAGACTGACCTGGAACTCACTATGTAGCTCAGGCTGGTCTCGAACTCACAGCGATCCTCCTGCCTCAGCCTCCCACGTGCTGGGATTACAGGCGTGCGCCACCACACCTGGCCAGTCCTTTATAAGGAAACCAAACCAGAGAAAGGTAAGAGCTGGCTCTTCAGTGACAGTGAACAGGAGCCCAAGCCTGTCCCTCCCACACCTGTCCCCTCTCCACTAGCCAACTGGAGGTGACTAGTCCCACTCTACCCACTCCCAGTTCCGTGCATTTCTTATGGAGCTGTAATTGCATAAATGTTTTTATATATTTCATTTCTGTACCCATCAGTCATTTTAGAAAGCCTCTGGCTGAAGCTTGCCAAATATATGCACTGATACCACCACATCTGTCAGTTTGGGCCATTAGCCAAGCAGTAAGGTCATAAACAGCAAGTGCTCAATGAAATGCTTGTGGGCCTGACTGGAACCAGTGAATACACAGTCAATGTCATGTCCGTGGGGATAAAAACTTAAACGGATCCATCTTCATGGGGTTATATCCCTTTTAAAATGTCCTACCTCTCTCCTTCTCTTTTCCTGTCCTTCCTTCTCTCCTTCCAACAAGTACATATTGAGCACCTACTCTGCCCCCAACATTGTACAGGAAGCTGGCCAGAAGGCAGGAACCAAGACACACATTCTAAACCCTCTTGGGGCCTGACTTATAACATAATTTGGCTCTTGCCCTATTTGATTCCCCCGTGTACACAGGTCATGCTTTTCAGTCAGGGTTAGGCAGTGGTGGCTCTAACACTAAGGATTACATTATAGGAAAAGGAGCCATAGAGGCTCCCGGACAGACTCCAGGATCCAGGGATCCCACAGGCACAGAGCAGTGCTTCCAAGGGGGAAAAGGGGCTGATTGGACCGTGGGCAGAGAGGTTCAGAGCTGGAGGTCTCCCTCTGAGGCACATTGTCAGCCAAAGGTTTGAAGCCAGGGAGGCCCAGGTTCTGCAATGCCAAGCAAGGCGGAGGAAGAATGGAGAGTTCTTAGGGAGAGAAAAGCACTTGATCATTGCTGTTCACAGAAACATGAGTTTGGGGGCTACCCCAAATGCCTCAATTGTATTTAAAGCCACATACAAAATGAATTTTTATCAAATAGGAACCCCAAACATTTATATATAAATATTTATGGCCTAGATATTCTTGTCCATTTTACCATATTCTAACTCCTATGCAAATGCACAGCCACTGGGGCTAGCAGTTTAGCTCAGTGGTGCCACGCCTGCCTCGCAAGTGCAAGGTCCTGGGTTTAATCCCTGGTACAAAAAAAATGTATAACTGCTGATGTCTATAAGTGTAGATAATACATTTCTATATTTATGCATTTATATAGGTATGTATTAAGTACCTACTAAGGAAACATTTATGAGATTAATTCTTAAAACAATTCTATAACAAGACATGGCAGTGCATACTTATTACCTCAGAAGTCTGGGAAAGCTGAGCCAGGAGGATCGCAAGTGTAAGCCCAGCCTGGGCAATTAGTGATTTAGCAAGATCTTGTCTCACAATAAAAAAAAAAAAAAATTGAAAATAGATTGGGGTGTGTAGCTCAGTGTAAAGTTGTAAAGTTCGATCCATACTCCCCCTCCACCAAAACCATTCTGTGAGGCCAACAGCATTAACTTCACTTTACCAAGGAAGAAACTGAGGCTAAGCAAAGAGAATTAATTCATATAAAGTCACAAGACTATTCAGAGGTAGGATTATAGCTGAGATCTAACTTAACAGTCTGTGATTTCTCTATTTCCTCATTTGACTCCTAAGTTTATTTCTCTGGTAAAGCTGGCAAAGACTTGGAATATACATATACATACCTTGGATCAATCAGACTAGCAGCGGCTTTCCTGTGATTAACTAGCACATTTCTTTTCTTTGTGTCTAAGGTAATTAATTTATATAAAGTAATGCATCCTTGTGCCTCAGAAATGCTGTACATATTCATTTTCCTGCACCAAGTCTCTGGTTCCTGGGGCGGTTACTTGTGGTCCAATTATAGTAGAGTCATTTACATCTTCATTTGGCTGTAGATCACCCCACCTGGCGGCCGGGCTTCTTTTCTCTTTGCTTGCCTTTTTAAAAATTGTATTGGGTTCCCCCAAGAAATTTCATTTTCACTCAGGCTTAGTTTTATCTGTCTTCCACACACAGTTTTTACATCGTCTCAATCTTGTCTCAGCTATTTTCCTGCTGTCTTGACAGAACTTAAATCTTCACTCTGTGCTGTTTCCAGCCAGGCAGCCTTGGAAAATGGCTTTTAAATGGGACTCAAAGGCAAGAGTTCCAGTACTTTTCTGTATTTATCTCATAAATGACTGGGATTTTTGTGCCAATCCATCTTCCTGTTTCCTGATTGCTTCACCTGTGAGTCAAAAGCTTGCAGCTGAGTCTCCTCGGGGCGCCACACTTCTGCTCACAGGCAGCCCAAGATCCTACCCCAATGTGGAAACATTCTGAGCCTAATAGACACCCATGTCATCAATTTTACCCATTCATTATTATAGATCTAATGCAAACACAGATATATCTTCAGAAAATTGTCCCTTTTCATTTTGAGTAAACTCACCTTTTGTATTTGCCTACTATATAATTTTGTTTAGGCATTACAAGTCTTTTTCCTATTCATTTGTATATTTTCATCAGTTCTACTTCTGATATTTTGGGGGCTTGTGCTACAGGACAGGCACTCTATTGGAAAGCAACAGTGAATAAAACAAGTACTTTCTGCCCTAGATTTGCCAGAGTCTGAGAACCAGTAGAGCCCCAGAGGCAGCAGAATGCCCTACTTTCCCACCCCACCCTGTAGTTAGCAGAAAGCACCCACTGAATGCTTAGAAAGGACCCAAATGTCTAGTCCAAGAACCATTCTAGAAAGTCTAATAATAACCAACTTTTATTTGGCATTTACCATGTCACAAGGGCTGGTCTGCATATTTTACATTATGAAAAATTTAAAACTATGTCCCAAGGAATGTTAGTTAAGGGTTTCTTAATAAGTGCGCTACCAAAATAATTTCCATTGTCAAATAAATTTATAAAACCACATACCCTGCTCTATAAGTTTCATAATAGTTTTGAATATAGAAATGATTTTGTAAAATCTTGTGATTATTCTTTAGTGTTTTTTCCTAATTAACTTTATTTATCCTAGTATTCCAAATACATATTAAGAAAACAGTATCCTAAGAAGCTGATGGGAGAAATTCCTCTCTAGAGGCTTAGCTTCAGAGAAAGATTTATACTAAGGATGAGTATATTTTAGTTCAAGTTAAAATGCTTGAAAAGGTACTATTATTAGAAAATTTATACTATGGGTAATGATGTATAAAATACCTAGGATCCTTAAAAGCTGCTTCTGAGCAGGCACACAGTGACATTATCCCAGGTTGATGATAAGTTATTGATTATGTTAGTGGATTAGAAAATAGAGTCACTGGTCTGCTGCTCCAGGATGAAAGCCATGGGTAGAGTCCTCCATTCAATGGAGCCTTGAATCATCCACAATTCTCTTACTTTCAGCAAGATGAATAGCACACTTGATGTTTCAGTGCCCCCTGGGGGCCACAATTGGTATTGTGCCGGAGTCAAATTAAATGGATCCACAAAGAATGACAAATATACCTCAGAACAGATAAGAAGAAGGTACAAAGTGAACTGTGGAGATAAATCTGAAAATCTAAAATTAGTCTAGGAAACTCCGAGATCAAACTGAAACTCTGGCCTCCGTGATGTTGGCAACATACCAACAAGCCTAAAAAAGTCTACTAGCATAATCCAAAGGGAAGATGACACAGTCACATAAAGGATCCACAAAAAGGGACACAGAGTGCTAAAAACAATGGTACAATGGAGAGGGGAGAACACTGTTAAGCAGGCACCTGCATCAGTTTTCCCTAACTCTGGTCCTTTGCGGGAGATGACACCCAGAATGAAGATGTCAGGTAGCAATTGGGTGCAGGAGATGAGCAATTAGAGGGAACATTGAGAGCGATGTGCTTAGAAGACCTCTAGGCACCCAGGCTCATTACCAAAGTCTACATTCCCAGGATCTGTCCCTTTTCATATTCGTGACTCACTTTGGTTACTGGCCTGTGCAGGGCTCCATATCTAGGTGATGGAGATAACAGTCTTTAGATGGAAGGTAGAAAATATAATGAAGATCATTTCTCTTACAAAATATAATGAGCGTTTTCTCTGTTTGTGGTATTATTATTGTTGTTTATTGCTTTACGTATTTTCACCTGCTCTGATTGACAGTTTCAATCTCATTCTAAGGAACCTGTTTGCTGAAACACTTTGAGTACTAATAACACATGCTTTTGTCCATTTTCAGTCCTCGTCTATGAACCAGAAAATCCTGAGGCCAAAGAGTTTTCCTCACTTATTGAAGAAATGTTGATGAAGGGTAATTTTAAAAATTGAAATTCCTTTCTTCTCATAGAACTATGAGCAGTCACTCTAAAAGCCCATTATCCCAGGAAATTGTCCAAATGTGTCTTCAGGAAGTGGTTAAGAAACAGCTAAATGGCTGTCTTAATGGTTTAGTCAGACCAGCCTGTCCTTGTGCATGATGATGATCATCATCTCACACTACGGCAAAGCAGATTCTCTGGGTACCACTCATCAGGTACCAGAAAGCAGAACACGCTAATCACCCCCATAGGTTAAAGGTGTTAGCCCTTAATATTAAAGAAGGCCAATACCCTCTGAGTTACTCTAAGTCTCTACTTCTTTTACCCCATTTAAGAATTTCATTAACAATAGTAAAAATGATTGTCATAGGCCTATGTTTTCAACTGTTTGAACCCACAAGTATCACCATGCCTGTAAGAATGTATTTCTTATTCTACCACTTTGACTCTCATAAATTCACAAAGTACAGCTCGATCCTTTTATTCCCAAAATATGTGTTTCTTGGTAGAGGATAGGCAGGAGAATTGCAATATTTCTGAAGAGTAGAAGTATTAAGACACATTTTAAGTATTTACCTTTCTTTCCATGGCAGAGAAAGCTCAGAATCTTGAGGAAGAAAGTGGAGAGGACAGCAGCACTGAGAGTGAAGGAGAAAGCAGTGAGAACGAGAGCAGTGGGAGCTCCGACGAATGTGACGATGGGTCATGACGGTCACTGCGGTGTAAACAGCGTGCGTTGTCATTAATATATACTACAAAAATAAAGAAGACTGCAGCACCTCGCTCTAGTTGTTCTTTCTTTGGTATAGTTTTTTATCTTTATTAAGGTTATTGGTACAATTTAGGTACACAGTACAGTTACATTCATCATTGGGATCTTGTATCTTTACATGATCTATCTTGGTTCTTATTTTTCCCCATTCCCCAGCCCTCCCTTCACCCACTCCACCCTTCCCTGTTTGCAAAGACATTGTTTCCATGTTTTTCCTTTTTACATATTCATCCTTTTTCCTTTTTACCTTTCCCCTACCACTCCCACTTCCTCTACTCTGTTAGACTGTTCTTCCTATTACACAATACCAATTATACACTTTGATCCTTACTTACACTTTTACTTTTTCACACCAGAGAAACTATTCAGTATTTACCCATGTGTGTCTTATTAATTTCACTTAAGAGTGTGGCCTCATGGGCTGTGGATTTAGCTCAGTGGTTCTGCCACCTGCCTTGCAAGCACAAGGACCTGAGCTCGATCCCTGGTACCAAAAAAAGAAAAAAAAAAGTGTGTGGCCTCAATGTGTATCTACTTAGCTATAAATCTCTCTAGTTTCTCATTCTTTAAGGCTGAGTAGTATTCTGTTTTATAGAAAAATCACATCTTCTTTATCCATTCTCCAGTTGATGGACAATTGGGCTGTTTCTAAATTTTAGCTATTACAAACTGTGCTGCTATAAACATGGGCAAGCATGTATCACTGTGGCATAATTTTTTAAATTTTTTTGGAAAGATACCCAGCAGAGGAATAGCTGGGTCAAAAAGAACCTCTAATCCTAGTTGTATGAGGCATCTCCATATTGATTTCCACAGTGGTTGCACCAGTCTGCATTCCCACCAACAATGAAGGGTTCCTTTCTCCCCACAATCTTGCCAGCATTTGTTATTGGCTGATTTCTTGATAGCCATTCTTTCTGGAGTGAGGTGGAATCTCAGTGTTGTTTTCATCTGCATCTCTCAAATGACCAGTGATGTTGAACCTTTTTTCATGTTTATTTGCTGCTTTTACTTTTTTTTCCTGAGACATGTCTGTTCATTTCAGATGCCCATTTTTAAATTGGGTCTTTGTTTTGGGGGGGTCTGATATTTTTAAGTTCTTAATATATTCTAGATAGTAGACATTTGTCTGAGGAACAGCTAGTTATAACTGATATGTATTGATTTATCATTGTCATGTTATTTTCCTGTTGTTGGTTCTTTTTTATTTTCTCCCTCTCCCCTTAAATTCTTGCCTTTTGGATTTACTCTGTTGGGCCTCATGAAGTTGTGACCTTCACAGTCTTTTTTCAAGGACATTTTAAAAAAGGTGTTTGAGGTGCTGATTCGGTATTCATGAAGTTTCTCAGGTGTTCTTTGTCATGAAAATATCTTATTTCTCCATCAATTTTGAAAGATAGTTTTGCAGGATACATCAGCCTAGGTTGGAGGCTGTTTTCTTTTAAAGCTTGTAATACCTCTCACTCCAGGCTCTCCTTGACTTGAGGGTTTGTGTTGAAAAACCTGTTGTGATTCTGATGGGCTTTCCTGTACATGTAATTTGTTTCTTTTCTCTAACTGCTCCTAGTACTTTGTACTTCTGTTGGGTTTCCGGGATCTTGATTATTACATGTGTAGGTGTAGATTTTTTTTATCATAACTAATTGGAGTCCTATATGCCTCACTTATCTGTATGTCAAGCTCTTTTGTTCTGTTTGGGAAGTTTTCTGCTATTACTTCTGTGAACAGTTTTTTTACGTGATTTGTGCTTTCTCCTGCTTTTTCTTGGACTCCTATTAATCTTATATTATTCTTCTTTGTATCAGCTTTTCAAAAAAGAGTGCCTGGCTTCTACTCTATCTGATTATACCAGCTGGGCACCCTCAGGGCGGCCCTGGCCTCGGGGATCTGGGCACAAGCGACAGGCAGCCCTCCTGCCATGTTCCCCCTGGCCGAATGGTGGCTGAGGCTGCGATGGCTCCAGCAGCAGGCCAGGTCAACGCTCGCGCTCTCTTTCAGGCTCCTCCGGCCCCCACCACTCTGGGGCTCTCCTTCCGGGTGGGGGGTGGGGGGGTGGACCCAGGGAGAGCAGACTGGCCTTGCTGGCTTGCTGGCTTGCTCCCCTCCCTTCCTTGCTCATGCGCCTGGTCCAGCTTAAGTTTTCCATATTCTTAGTTTGAGCTCCTTCGGAATACTTGGACCGAATATTAGCTCAATGTGAATTATTTGGAGGACAATGAAGAAAAAATAGTATGTGCCAAGTGTTGGTCAAACTGCTCTGCACACATTATTAGATCCATCAGCTACGTGAACAAAGTACCACTGTGAACCTTGTTCAACAGAACAAGGCACAGAGAAGGTAAGAGCTTCCCAGCCTCATATGCCTATTGACTTGTACATCCTGGATTTGTACCTGAACATTAAGACTCCGGAACCCATACTTACAGCCCCCCACAAGTGGTCACCATATTAGGCCCTTTTATATCATTTGTACTGTATTCTTCACAGCATGCATTCGTGTCTGGAATGCTGCTTTAATTGTTCTTTTCAGCCTTTGCTACCAGCAGAGAATGGCACCTCCTTAAAGCAGAATTTATCTTTTTCACTACTGTATCCATTGTAATACATTGTAATGTATTTTATATCCCAAATGAAGAAATGGAGCAGAAAGGTAAATAAAATGTTTATATCTTTTCATGCAACATTTACAAAACTTTACATTTATTATTATCAATCTACATTATCTTGATGATTCTGTATTCCTTAATGAACTTCTGCCACTTTCAAATTTGTAAGGTAACCAAAGTTAGCATGAAAACAATGTGTTTGTGAACGTGTCAATCTGAGTTAAGGGTAATCATCTTCACTTTTTATTTCTACATTAGCACAATGTCATGACATATCCAGAATGCTCACAGTGTGGTTTATTCTTTGGGCATTTTCTGGCCTCTTCACATTCAGAGGAATGTGAATTTTACTGCACCAATTGATAGGCATAACTGAGAGAAATGAAGGTAGGAATATATGATCTTCTAGGTAGCCTTTAATTTTCAGTAAATTCTCAGAGCCATGTGTATAAATAACTAAACAGTGTCAGAGGTCTAGCCAACACACATCTCAGGAATGACCTGTTTTCACCTTAATTAGGGCTGAATAGTCCTCTTCACCAAACCCTACAGACGCCAATCTGATAATGGAGTACCCCTGCCCCATAAGAAGTTCATAAAACCCTCTAAAACTGATACTGCAGATTAAGTTACAATGAGACTTTAGCTTTAAAGGAACAGGGTAGCTATAAGGAAAATGAATAAAAAGCTACAATATCACAGGTCATGTTATGGATCTAAGTTCTAAATTTATAGTTTGTTTCTCCAGGATCATCAGCCCCTCTTCATGTTCTCTACTCTACCTGCCTCCTTAACCAATAGAATTTGGGGTGTTGGCATAGCCTAATGTTGGGCATGTTTCTATATGCAATAAGAGTTTAAAAAATAATCTTTGGTATTTTAAAGTTACTTAGCAGCTTCTCATGAGAGTCCTAAAAGCATGCTATTATCCTCACTAATTATAGAAATTGAATTTGGGAAGATTGAGGGTATACAAGGTTAAATGTTAGCTTAAGCACTGGGAGCCAGATAAAGAAATAGACAGCTGGAGATGCTGGTTGCGTCCTAGGTCGAGAGATCTAGTGAATCTGGAAGCCACTGTTGGAACTGCATCCTACATAGCTAAACTCCAGAAACGGAGTCAGCCAACATGTCGTGCCTATATAGACAGTTCATCCAAATCTGTCGTCCTTTAATAATATTGTAACTCATTACAACGATGTTAACTCAAATATCTGAAGGTAATATGGTGGCATACACTGGTAATCCTAGCACTCTGGCAGGGTGAGGCAGGAGGATTACAAATTCCAGCCCAGCCTGGCCAATATAGCAATTTAATGAGACTTTGTCTCAAAATATAAAGAAACAACTTGGGAGGTAGCTCAGTGCAGAAGTCTTAGGTTCGATCCTAATATTAAAAAAAAGAAAAAGGAAAAGAAAGAACGACCCAAATATCCAGCAGTTTGAGAATACGTAAGCATACCCACTCAGTAGATTTGAGTTGGGAACCCAAAGGAAAAGTTTATTCAACAAACATTTACCGAAAGCCTACTATGTATATCACTGGGAACAAAATCTGCTCTTACACAGCGCTGTTGTAATACAGGATGATAAACACTGCCAGTGAGAAGGGCCAGGGCTCGAAGGAGTTGTTCAGAGGGCTCCTGAGCACAGTCTAAGGGACCGGGAGAAAGCCCTCAGGAGAGAAGAGAATGTCTAAAACGAGGTGATAGAATAAGTGGAAATGAGCTATGAAAAGCCAGAGTGTGGAGGACACGCTGAACAAGGTAACACAACTTGTAAAGGCCCAGGGACACATTCTGAGTCCAGAAAATAAAGATGGATTATAAAATGAACGTGAACCAATGAGAGCAGAGAAAAATGAAGCTACAGTGATCAAAGGACCAGGTATTGGAGGGTCTTAGAAGTCAAGACAGACTCGGAATTTTATCCTCCAAATAGTGGGAGGCATTTTAAGGCAAGTAGTTGTATTTTAGAAAGCTCATTCTAGGCAGAAAAACGTCTTCTCAAATTTTAGCTTGTGCTCCATTGGTTAGTTATGAACTCACCATGGTAGGACACAAATATTTGAGCTTTTAAAAATTAAATACTGGAGGGGCTGGGGATGTAGCTCAGTAGGTAGCTGCCTACCTCGAAAGTGCAAGGTCCCAAGTTCGATCCCTGGTACCAAAAACAAATACAAAAAACAAAGAAGACTCCATGTCACTGGGAGACAGAAGGTAAAAGTACAGGTACACATCGATCACTTCAGCACAGGGCACACTGAGAAATGAGTCTTTAGGCAATTTTGTCCTGTGAACATCCTAGACTATACTTACACAAACTAAGACAGCGGTGTCACCAGGCAATATAAACGTGGAACCATGGCTGTATATGTAGCCCAGTGTGAACTGAAGTGATGTTATACAATACATGACATTTTTAAAA